ACGTATCGCTACGTGTATGGCAAGGCGTCGCTGTACATCCCGAGCCACTTTGCGAACGTGCTCTCGTCGCGGCGGGACCTCGTCGACGCGCTGCTGGTCGATGGCAGCGGCAACGTAACCATTGCGCCGACCGAAGAGATGTCGATTGGCGTCACGAAGCGACAGGTTCAAGTCATGGGCACCGAGCCCGAGGTGCACGCAATCGTTGCCAAGCTGGACGCGAGCTTGCAGCGCCATGAAGCGTGGCGGCAGTCGCAGCAGCTGGCAGGCGACGAAGTCGTGCTCCAGTGCGTCTTCAAGAGCAGCGACCTCGCACAGTGCGACGACGCCATCGAGCGACTCACCTCGCGCTTCCCAGTCGGCGTCACGACGACGGCAGGATCGCGCGACCGATCGGTGCTCGCCATCTCGGGCTGCAAGCACGAGGTCATCCAGGCCACGGTGTATGTCGCCTCCAAAGTCGCCTCCAGTCGACCCGCGCCATCGAACGCACGCAGTCGTCGACGTAGCCGCGAGCGGGAACCACCGACGGAGCGATTCCGCGCACGGCCAGTCCCGAGACCCTTCCAGCGTGAGCCTGCGTTGGCGCTACATATGAGCGCCGAGACAGACGCACCTCGAATGGTCAAGCGCGAGGGTCCGGAAATGCCTGCTCTCGGGTCCTTCGACTTGAACGAGATGGGGCGGGTATCCATCCCGAGCCGTGACCCTCGGCTGCTTCGACGACAGAATTGCGTGCCGCGAAACGCCATGCCTTTGCTACCTCGAGAGCCCGCAGCTCCACCCGCCCGTGCGACATCGCCACTACCTGCGCCCCCGTCGTTGTCAAGCGCGAGCGACCCAGCGCATCGTCGCCGTCGGTCGGGCAGCTCCCAGAGAGCTTGCAGCAGCAGCACGCTACAGCACCTTTGTCGCAACCACGGCCGCTCCCGTCGCCACGTCACGAGTCGGAAAGCTTGCGAGATCGCCCACAAGCCTCGGCAGGCGCACTCGCAAGTCCTGGGCCGCCACCACCGCTGCCGGTACCGTCCGTCGTGGTCAAGCCCGAATCGACAAGCGAACCTCCGCCGCCGGTCGGTGGATCTCCGGGCGCTTTGCAGCAGCCTGCCGCGACGCCTCCGTTGCAACCACAGCGCCTTCCGTCGCCGCGCCCACTAGCATTCGCAGATCCACCCGCCCGTCCTGCATCACCTCTGCCGTCCGTCGTGGTCAAGCCCGAGCCGACTGTCGGGTCGTCTCCCGCTACCGCGCAACCGCGCGCCACGGCACCTCGCACTGTCCCATCGGCTTGCGCTGCAACACTGACCAACCGAGAGCGTCTCGTCGCTACCATCGTCGTCAAGCCCGAGCCACTGCAACCGCTGCTGCCGCCGCAACGGCCGACACCACGCCAGCACGTTGCGCGGCCTTGTGCGCAGGCTGCATCGAGCAATCCAGTGGCAACGGCAGCGCCAGTAGTGCCGCAACCCGTTGCCGACGTTTACATCAAGCCCGAGCCCTGCACCGCGCCTACCCGCGCTGCGCCAAACCCACAAGACAGTCGGCCTATTGAGCCTCGCGATGCACACGCCGCGATGCCACCCAGCCCCTTACGCCGCGTGGCGGTGCAAGCAGAGCCAGTGCAGCAACCCGTCGCCGACGTTTACATCAAGCCCGAGCCCCGTCTCGAGCGTACCCGCGCTACGTCGCGAACCGTGGCGAGCTCGTCGGCCCCCGCGAGCGGCTTTTCCGAAGCGCCAGAGGCGAAGCGCAAGGCCAGTGTCTTGGAAAACAACGACAGCAAACGCGCGCGACAAGAGCCGCCACGTGCACCGTCGGTGACGCTCTGCGCGCAAGCAACGCGTGTCACGAGCCGCATCGCGCGCTCGATTGCGCTGCGTCTCATGCAAACCGGTCTGCAACAGGTGCCATATCGTCGCTCGTATCAAGTTGATACAATGATGTCGCGTAGGTCGTGGCCGCGTCCAAGGCGACCGTGCGCTTGGAGGTATGATGACTCGACGTTTTCTTGACGCGCTGACGAGGTCGCGTAGCCCGACACGATGGACGCCAACTACTACACGCTCTCGATCACCGGCGCGTGGGCAGACACGATTGCGGCACAGCAAGCGCTTCTAGCCCTCGCGCCCGACGTGTAGCTATTCATCTTGAATACCGAGTGTATTGAGGCTGGAAGAGTCTTACAGTCCACATGTTGTACAATAATGTCCTCGCAGTTGGATTTGTCGATGTTGAGGAAACAGAAGTACGCATCCAGTTCGAGACTCTGTTTTTGTAGACAGTGTACGAGACAGTGTGTAAAACACTGGTTGGAAACGCTGGGTGGCCGTTTTTTGGTTGGGAGGGCGAGTTTGGAGAAACGCATTTAGAGGCGGCAGCAGTAGCAGCAGCAGTAGCATGTGGGAGCCCAAGTCGTACACCAAGACGTTCATGCTCGTGCCGGCCGACGTGGCCCAGAGCCTCAACGTGCGCTCGGGCGTGGAGCTCAAGGAGCTCGCGCGGTCGGTCAACAGCCTCATGTACATCGTCGACTCGCTCGTCTACAGGGACTGCCGCATCCTCTGCATCGCGGGCACGCTGAGGACGATCGAAGCGGCCATGCGCGCGCTCGTGCCACGCATGCAGGAGATCCTGCGCGCCAAGTACGTCCCGACCTTCGAGTCGGTCTCGTACATGCACGACAAGGCCGTCGTGCACATCCGGTCTGACTTTGCGGCGCACCTCTTGGAGCAAGCGTCCGCGCGCCTCAAGCAAGTGGCCGACGCCACGCACACGCGCATCCACATCACGAACGTCGAGGAGATGGCAATGGCGTCGCCGCTGCGGCGGCTGCACATCTCGGGCGATGCCGAGAACGTCAAAGCCGCCTGCGACCGCCTTCACCAGGTGCAAGCCGACTTTGAAGCAAAGCCATCAGACCCGAGTCGCCTCATCTATGCGCTCCGCCTCGTCTTGCTCAACCGCGATGTGGCAGACGTCGACAATAGGCGCATGGCTGCGATGTACGAAGAGCTTCAAGTCCAGACAAAAACCTTGAAGCAGGTGCCCAACCTTCCGATCAAGACACTCTTCATTCTCACGGGACCGCTGGAGAGCTTATACGCAGCCCACATTGCGACGATCAATGCGATCAACGAGGGCTACGAACGCGGGCGACGGCGCAAGCAGCAGCAACAGCAACAGCACCAGCACGACCGAGACTACTCGCCCGACCGGTCGTCCTACGACAAGAAGCAAGACTACAAGAGCGCCCGCGATTCAAGCGAAGAGCGCTGGACGACCAAAGCCATCTTGCCGACACCACCGCGCGGCGTTGCCTCACCGCCACGCAGCAGCATGAGTCCGCGGGCCGTGCACTTGACGCCGGTCGTGCCACCGCCGGCCATGCCCTTCCCGTACCAACCAGTCCCCGCGCCCATGCCGTCAGCATGGGACACGAGTGCGAATGGGTGGAAGCTCCACGACGCCGTGCCGGCCGCGGACGCATGGAGCCAAGACCTGGATCGGCTTCTTCAAATGCCTAGTACGAGCGCAGCCAGTGTTGCCGTCACCCGCCCACTGGACCCCCGCCGACCGCCGCCAACAACGACGCCGACAACCACAACGACGACACCAACAACAACGACGACGCCGACAACGACGGCACCAACGACGACGACGCCAACGACCGGACAACAACGACGACACCAACGACGACACCGACAACGACGACATCAACAACGACGACGCCAACGACGACGACGACACCGACACCAACAACGACGACGACAACAACCGCGACGACGAGTACCAAGCGACCCCATCGCATCAAGGCCGTGACGGACACGGAGACATCCGAGCTACCACCGCGCAGCAAGATCGTGCAGCTGAGCCGGTCGACGACGCCGGTGGCGGCGCAGCGCACGACGATCGTCAACCTCGGCGGCATCAACAAGTCATGTGTGGACTTTGGCAAGGGCGACACCACGGAAGATCGACTCAAGCGCCCACTGAGCGACCCGCCAATGCCGCCGGCCAAGACCCAGCGCACACTGCTCTCAGACATGGCGTCAGGGGCCGGACGCACCGTCTACTTGGCCGACGCGTCTTCGAGTCGGTACAGCAGTAGCACGTCCCGTCGCCACGTGACTCTGGTGAACGGCACGCCAGACAAGAGCAACGACGACAGCCACCGGCAACGGGCGCCCGACGACGGCAGCGCGTCTGCTAAAACACCGAGCGCATCGTCTGTGTCCTCGACAACCTCGACGACCGCTACGACCGCTACGGCGGCTTTGGACGGCGCTTCCTCATCGGTCGTCGCCTCGGGTCGCGAACCGTCGCCAGCACGGTCCGTTGCTTCTAGCCGTGCTCCGTCGCCGGTGGCCGTCAAGGAGACCCAAGCCCCAGTATCTGTCAAGGCGGCCCCGGCACCAGTGTCGTCGGTCGAGCCGCCACGGTCCCGCGCGCCGATCCCATTGATGCAAACGCAGGTCGAGATGCGCGTGGACATGGACACGGCCGACAAGATTTTGACGGGCGGCGGGTTGCGCCGAGTAAGCGCTTTTTGCTTGTCTCGTTGGTTGTGCTAAGAATCCTTGTAGCTAGCACAAGCGTCGAGCGCCGTCGTGAGCTTCCAGATCGACCCGCTGGACGCCAACATGACCAAGATCCTCCTGGCCGGCGACCTCCTCGCAGTCATGCAAGTGCAGCAAGAAATCAACGCGATCCTCCACAGCTAGCTCTTTGTTGTCAACCACGATCTGTACATTCGTTAGCGTTAAACACTCACGCAAACCGAGCTAAGACCGTCGCGACCGTGTCGTCGAGGCGGCAGTAGGCGTGGCCTTGGCCCGCGAGGAGCACCGATTAGCTGGTGTCGTGGGAGCAAAAGATGTGCGCTGGCGCAGCTTGCCGTCGAGCTGGTCGCGGCCGTGATCGCTGCCTTGCGCGGTGGCGGTAGCCCGCTTTCGGGCGTCGTCAGAAACGCAGTACCCACTTGCTCCATGTCGGCACCCAACGCAAACATAGCAAGCATGTACCGGCGGTCCGAGAAGCCGCCTACTCCATGTTGTTTCAGGAGTCGTGCTTGTTGCTAGCAAAGGAGGCAAAGGACGTCGCCTGCCATGGGTGGTGGCGAGGCGGTGCCCCAGTGATCGGTGATCGGCGTCGTTGGCAACGGCTTGGAGCGACTCTGGCCGTGCCATGCGCTTCGATGTCGGTCTTGCGTGTCAGTATGTGACGCCGTGCCCAGGTGGCGACGGTTGATGTGCGTCATCGAAGCATCGGTGTCGGTGCCGTCGCCACATCGAAGCACCAGGGTCGAAGCGAGAGACGACCGAGACGCTGCCGCCGTCGTTGCGTCGGACCGCCGGCGTCGTAGCGAAGAACGACCGGGACGCTGCTGCCGTCGTTGAAGCGGCGCGTCGGTGTCGAAGCGTGATACGGTCGGGATGCTGCTGCCGTCGTTGGAGCGGAGCGTCTGTGTCGAGTGCGAGACGATCGGGACGCAGGCGTCGTTGCGTCGGATCGCCAGTGTCGAAGCACAGGACGATCGGGATGCTGCTGCCGTCGTGGAATCGAAACGCCGGCGTCGTAGCGAAGAACGACCGGGACGCTGCTGCCGTCGTTGCGTCGGATCGCCGGTGTCGTAGCGAAGAATTATCGAGACGTAGCAGACCGAAGCCAAATCGAAACTGTGTCGAGGTTTGGCTGGCCTATGCCTGCTCCTCCTAAAAACTCTATTTCTACTCTTTACCGATACGTTGAACCGCCCATGACAACCATGGAGCTCACAGGATGGCGTTGTGTCTGTAGCATTTGACCAACTGACGCTTGAAGTCGAGGTCGTGCCGGGAACGAGCAGTAGTGGCGTCCTACCTCGCTGGCTTTGGCGTTGTAGTATCGAAAGTCCCTTAGCGAAGACGGCGTCGACATAAGCGGCCTCGAGCGCAATCGCCTCCTCGACCGTCGTGGTGGTGACGAGCTCGTGCACCCAACAAATTGTCGGGTGCATCGAGTTTGTTTGCGCTGGAAGAGTCTTGATGGACGACTGCAGGCTGGTCAACTGTGACCGATTCCGCTCCCTGGCAACAACCAAAACGTGAAACACCAGACAGAGGGAGGCCGTACTCCCTAAACACCGGCTAGTGTACTGTATGTACTAAGCTTACAAAGCAGAACGGAAAGTGACAGCTACAGTAAGCTACGTCTACAGACTGCTGCCAAAGGCTGTACAGTCCCATGGTAGAGTTCCACATCAACGGGCTTCTCCCGTAGGACTAAACATGCAAACACACGTCGCCTTGTCCCGGCCTAGTGGTGTTGACGTGGGCTAACCACTGTATGCGACCAACGGTCACATCAACAGAGCCCAGACATGCACGTACTATAACGCGCCTGGTTGATGAAGGAGGCCAGGCAGGGAGTGGCGTCTGCAAGGTGCGGACGCAGTGCGAAGCGACCGGGCTCCGCGCAAACGACTGCGTCGTGGCTTCGCCTGTCAACTCGTCTCAACAGTCGACACGAATCATCATCATACTATCTTGTAGTGCCTAAGACAGTGTACGAAACACTGGTTGAAAACATCGGTTGACAACACTGGTTCGAAACAATCATTTGAAACACTGGTTCGAAACGATGGTTAAAACACTGGTTGGAAACGCTAGTTGGAAACACTGGCAGGCCTGGTCGGGTCATGGGTGGGTCTTGAGAAACGGGTCGTCCCGGTTTAGATTAGGAGGCCGACGACGATGGCGACGCTGTCAGACCGCGAGACAAAGACGTTCATGCTCGTACCGGCCGACATGGCCCAGAGCCTCAACGTGCGCTCGGGCACGGAGCTCAAGGAGCTCGCGCGGTCTACCAAGACCTACATGTACTTCATCGACACGCCTGTCTATAAGGACTGCCGCATCCTCTGCATCGCGGGCACGCCGAGGACGATCGAAGCGGCCATGCGCGCGCTCGTGCCACGCATGCAGGAGATCCTGCGCTCCAAGTATGCGCCGACCTTCGAGTCAGTCTCGTACATGCACGACAAGGCCGTCGTGCACATCAGGTCGGACTTTGCGGCGCACCTCTTGGAGCATGCGTCCACGCGCCTCATGCAAGTGGCCGACGCCACGCACACGCGCATCCACATCACGAACGTCGAGGAGATGGCAATGGCCTCGCCGCTGCGGCGGCTGCACATCTTAGGCGATGCCGAGAACGTCAAGGACGCCTGCGACCGCCTCCACCAGGTGCAATCCGATTTTGAAGCAAAGCCATCGGACCCAAGTCGCCTCGTCTATACGCTTCGCCTCGTCTTGCTCAACCGGGACGTGGCAGACGTCGACAATATGCGCATGGCTGCGATGTACGAAGAGCTTCAAGTCGAGACAAAAACCTTGAAGCACGTGCCCAACCTTCCGATCAAGACACTCTCTGTTCTCACGGGACCGCTCGAGAGCTTATACGCAGCCCACATTGCGACGATCAATGCGATCAACGAGGGCTACGAACGCGGGCGACGGCGCAAGCAGCAGCAACAGCAACAGCACCAGCACGACCGAGACTACTCGCCCGACCGGTCGTCCTACGACAAGAAGCAAGACTACAAGAGCGCCCGCGATTCAAGCGAAGAGCGCTGGACGACCAAAGCCATCTTGCCGACACCACCGCGCGGCGTTGCCTCACCGCCACGCAGCAGCATGAGTCCGCGGGCCGTGCACTTGACGCCGGTCGTGCCACCGCC